ATAGATAGATAGATAGATAGATAGATAGATAGATAGATAGATAGATAATCTGACCAGATTTATGCTAATCCTACTATTATATGAAGAATTGTGCTCTGAGATTAAAGGAATAGCAAAATTCATAGAAAGATTCTAAAATTCCATTAGCAGCACAATTTCTTCTAAAAAGTAAAATTGATTGTACAGTTTTATAAACAATTATAAATACATTGCCCTGCTGCAAATCCAATAGAAAAGTGAAAAATAAAAACACCAGTGCTTTCACTTAATAGTTATTATAACACATTTTATATTTATCACATCTAAATGTTATTAATGCACTAATAAATGTTATTAATGCAAGACAGAAAAGTGGAAATGCCAGACTTCTGGAGGCCTGGCATACTGTTTTTATTTTTAGTACCATCTTCTTCTTGTACCCTTGATTCCCATGGCAGCAAAATACTCACAAAAAGTATGTTATTAACCCCATTCAGCAACTTTTCCAGGCATTTGAGAATGCTTCAATCTCTTATATCAAAGCCAAATATCAAAGCCAACAGCATTTCTTTAATATTTGTATTCTACCAATCCAAAATGACTTACATTCTTACGCAACCTTATGTCAGTAGAGGAAAATATATTGCAATGCCATGACACAAATTCCATAACTTGAATTTGGTTTCAAAATATGAAAGGTTGGATGAACGTTGTGATGTCAGAATGCACACTTAGGTTTTTTTTTCCAAATCTTGGTTGTAGAGAACATCCAATCTAAATGGTTTTCTAAACCAGAAATAGCAGCTTCAATCTCTAAACCAGGGGTGGGATTGAATTTTTTTAACAACCAGTTCTGTGGGCGTGGCTTAGTTGGTGGGCATGGCTTGATGGTCATGTTATTGGCTGGGCGTGACCAACTCAATATCACTCACATCGAGGCACGCATTTCCTCACCTGGCCTCTCATGACTGTGGGGATGCTTGCAACAGTCGTAAGTGTGAAAATGGTCATAAGTCACTTTTGTCAGTGCCATTGTAACTTTGAATGGTCACTCCACACAAGCAAAGTACCAGCAAAAGAGGGAAAGAAAAACTCCAGAGAGGTTCCTGAGACAGGAAGTCTAGTCTTGCCAAAAATGTAATAAGGGTTAACGGAGAGGCAGTTTCTGTAAGCAACACCAGAATGTTTCCTTTCTGCCTTCCTTATAGGATTAGGCCAGTAATTTCTTCTAACAACCGGTTCTCCAAACTGCTTAGGATGTTAACAACCGGTTCTAGCAAATAGGTGCGAACTGGTAGAATCCCACCCCTGCTCTAAAACATATTTGAAGATCCTAAACTGTAAGATTAAAGTGAACTGACTGAAAGAAGTGAACTGGCTGATACAACCTCAAAAGAACACTGCAGAATGTCATTGATACAGGTAGCCCTCAATTTATGACCACAATTGAGCCAAATTTTATGTTGTTAAGTGAAACATTTGTTAAGCGAGTTGTGCTCCATTTTACGACCTTTCTTGCCACAGTTGTTAAGTGAATCATTGCAATTGATAAATTAGTAACCCAGTTGTTAAGTAAATCTGGCTTCCCCATTGACTTTGCTTGTCAGAAGGTCACAAAAGGTGATCACTTGACCTTGGGACACAGAAACGGTCATAAGTATGAACTAGTTGCTCAGCATCTGAATTTTGATTATATGAACATTGGGATGCTACAAATGTTGTAACTATGAAAAATAGTCTTAAGTCACTTTTTTCAATGCCGTTGTAACTTTGAATGGTCACTAAATGAACTATTCTAAGTTGAGGACTACCTGTACTATATTTGGGATGAAATGTCTTTTCATGAGTATTAGATCTTATTTAAATTATGCTGAACTCCATGACTGTGACTGCTGGGATTGTAATTTTTTCACAGTGCATTTATTGTACCGCATATTTTTGGGTAAAATTCACTTTAGATTTACCTTGAAAAAAAACATTTGATCAAAAGCTATATCCATTTTATTTGTTTATTAAAACCAAAAGTTAAAAATGAATAGCCTCACCAGTGCAAATATTTTCAGCTGATGTTTCAACAGCGGTTACTTCAACCACCCTGCAAAAAATGACCTAAATTGTACTGTTAGCAAAACTGTACGTGCTTCAATTTTCTATTATTAGCTCAAATCACTGCCTACTCTACCATATATCATAGTCCACTCAGAACTACAGACAGTTGAAGGCACAAGACTTTCTCAAAAGATGACAGTGTAGCCAAAAATAATAATTCTATGGAACAAGCTTTATCAATGAATCAAGATTTGATTGGGATCAACATCTGCAGGTTTGATAAGCCTATAACTGTAACACTATTAGTTGGGTACCACAGATGTGGGCTTAAGAAACATAATCCATAAGAAAATAGAAGAAAACTTTACTAGCAGAAGATTCTTACAGTACTGTATAAATATTACTGATCTATGGATTCATTGAATAAGATGCAGTATGTCTCCTACTGAAGCAATGTAGTTGGGCTTATTCTGACATCACTATATTATGTAGATGACTTCAGCATTGTAGGATAGCATTGGACAGGAGTGTCAAACTTGCAGTGTCACATTGTCGTCATGTAACATATTGTGACTTTTCCCCTGGAAAACTGGGGTGCGGTGGGGTGGGCATGACCAGTGTATGACGCATCTGGCCCGCGCGGGCCACAAATTTGACACCCTGGGCATAGGAAGTGGCCTGAGTCCCTGTGTATTTGTTTTGTTGCTGGAATGAAAGGAAAATAAGCAAAAGAGGAAATAAACAGGATTAGTTCCAGCTGAGTTGATTTAAGTCTTTAAAGTAAAACTCCCTTAACAATTGATTTCAGATGTTTTGCTTGTTTTCTTGGCAGAAGCTGACTAGAACAATTTGGGGTTCATTTCGATGCAATGATCAAAGGAATGACTATCTCTTTGCTTAAGATGTAGATTAAATTTGCAAAAGGCATCATTTTTCACCTTGGGAGCAGTGAATTTTAACTATAGGGTAGTCTAGATGGACAGACCATCAAACTATAGTATTGAGGATTAGGTTTTTTTTTTTTAATGTGAAACAGTCTAAAAGCTGTTCCTCATTTACTGTAAAATGAAGCGAATCTAAAACACTCAGACTTCAAAGTCTGAAACAGGACAGTCTTGGTGTGAAAAGCTGTTTTGCATTTGAGACAGGATGTTTCCAATTTGAGAGCCTGAATTCAAAACTTTTGCATATCACTAATCAAAACATTTAGAATAAACATTTCCTGTTTCTTTTACTAGGGCAGACTCCTCCAGTTTGAGTTTCTCTTTCTCCCTTTTCTTCTCGCTTAGAAAAGCCTTTCCAGGCCATTGTGGTTTTATCCTTCCTTCTCCTTCTTTATTACAGTGAAACTTCTAACTTTTACTATGCCACCCATGCCTTTCTCTACCTCATTTCCTGTTCTTTCTGCCTTTCCATATTTTTGCAGATCGGTCAGGAATGATATTATCAAAAAAGTTGATTTATCAAAAGAAAAGTAACTCTTACCTCACACCATTCTGTCCGCATATCTGGGTTGTTGCTAATCTTCCTATAGAAGGTTTTAACATCTTGAGCTTTCACATCTGGACCAAAAAGACTCACGACTGCATCAAAGAATTTCTCATAATCCATTCCTTCTGCAATGAAAACAAAATAATGCACTCACAGAATATAACCACAAAGACTAACACATCATTTAATTTTTTCTTCTAGTGTAAAGGTAAAGGTTCTTCTTGCAAATACGTGCTAGTCATTTCTGGCTCTAGGGACGGTACTCATCTCCGTTACAAAGCCAAAGAGCCAGTGCTGTCTGAAGACGTCTCCATGGTCATGTGGCCGGCATGACTAAATGCTGAAGGCCCACGGGATGCTGTTACTTTCCCACCAAAGTTGTCTCTATTTTTCTGCTTGCATTTTTACATACTTTCAAGTAACGGGAGCTCACTCCATTACGCGGTGCTAGGGATTTGAACTGCTGAACTGCCAACCTTTCTGATCGACAAGCTCAGCACCTTAGCCAGTGAGCTACCACGTCTCTCTAGCATGTGTAGAAAAAAAAAAGATTATCTTGCGTAGAAATCCACTATTAATCTTTTTAAATTTAATTTTCATTTTAACCCCAAAATCTTATCAATATATGCTGCTATTAAAAATCTTGGAAATTCTGAAAATGTATAAAAAGAAACCTTTGGCTTTGGAGTACATAATAAAAAAATTGCCAGACTGTTTAAGAAGTGTGTAGGGTCCCCATATATCTCACACAAAAAAGGGCTAATTTTTTAAAAATTCCATTTAACGCTGCTGAAAGATTTTTGTTGTCCCCCTCAAATGAATTTGTTATGCTTTAAAATCAGCATTAAACCTCAGGTAATTCTGTAGCAATCCAGTCTGATGGAATTTTCTATTCCAAAGGATTTATGACCCTCTGCTCAGTTCTCTAATTTCTAAGAGTTTGCATACATATCCAAGTCAAATGCCATACTTTATTAGTAATACCACTGTCCTATTAATATTCTGTTCGTGGGGCTCCAGAGTTACAGCTTGAGCACTATGCTGCATAGTAACATTTTATTTGCCACCATCCACCTCTCTGTAATTGTATTTTGCCTTCTTCAGCCATCCAAAAATGAACTAATAAAGAAGTAGATATGTACATCAGAGAACAATAGATCAAATGAAGTATTTCCTTACCATAATCCTTTACACGCATGCCTAATCTTTCCTCCCTTTTCTGAGCCACTGTTTTGTCAACCAGTTGCTGAAACAATTGCAAGGATCTTTTAAAGACGTCTCCACCTGGTAGGTCAAAATCATCTTCTTTGTAAATTTTTCTTCTGGACATCACAGCTACTGAGAAACACAAAACACAAAGAAGCTCTTTTGTCAGTTAGATTATTTTCTTCTGTTGTTATTCCTAATAATAAAATTTGTGGTGTTAAGTATTGCTTTGGTGACTGGAAAAATGATAACTTGCAGTAGCTGTTGGGTCAATGTGCCATCAAATACCTGATGTCACAACTCCTCCCTCAGTTTCATTGGTCTATTGGCCAATCTAGATCACAAACCAAACTGGCAAGCTGATGGCCATAAGGGAGTGTACCTTCAGGGCAAAGATAAATGATAGGAAATTCAAAAGGCAAATTGGCTGTTTAAGGGGAAATATCATGTAAAAATGTATTTAATTTTATTTCAGCAATTGCAAAGAGATAACATCCTTGTTTGTAATACAGTTGTAGACCATTTGCTGTAATGCAAGAAAAATAAAGAAGGCCACGGTACAGTAGATTAAATTAAATAATTTACTACAGTACAATGTTTCCCAATGGCTGCCCTTCAGATGTATCGGGGTAATAGCTTCCATCAGAATAGGCTTTGGCTGTGCTGGTTGGCAATACTGGGAATTGCAAATTCCTCAGCTCAAGGAAAGCTGATATAATGCAGAGGTAGAAATAAAAGAATGTGTCTTGTTTTCATAGCTTTCTTCAAACTAATATCCTCCAGATGAGCTGCATTACAACCACTATCATCAACCAGCATGATCAATAGCCAGGGAAAATGAGAAAACAGGATTGAGAAAATAATGGTTTAATTAACCACTGTTATGTTGTGATAACAAACATAATGTCGCTGACTTTATTTTGACTTAGTATGTTACCCAAAACTAGGCATTGTGGTTTACATGTCAGGATTTATGTAATTGGTGAACTCAACCACAGCTTTTTTAATAATCCACAAATTATAAATAAGACCATTGTTTTGTGCAACATGTGTTCTCCAATCATAGTTATCTTATGGTTCCTCTATAAGCATCCAAGAGTCGGTTGATGGTTAACTACTGTGCCAGTCAAATCTTATCATAAATATTTTTCCTCTAAACCTAAGCAAGTAAATAATGATCTGGTGGAAAGGTTTAGAGGAGAGCAATAATGTATTTAATTCCAACCAGTTTCAGTGATGGAAGATTAGATTTGGTGAGTACTGTTAAGTACATGGTGGTTGTGTTGTAGAGACTAATAGTGAAGCACAACCTATCTTCTAATAATAATGATTTCTATCTTTGAAGGAAATCTTACAAAGTGATAAGAATTATACTGAGCTGTCTTCCTAATTATAATACAAGAACAACCCATTATAGAGCAGCACATCCGAGCCCATAGAAAGAAAGACCTGAGTTTCAAACTTCCTTCCCCAGAAGTCTACAAGGCCTACAAGCCATGTTCTTATGTCTTATGCAACTGCTTTGAAGTTGCTGTCTCCTCTTTATCTTCTGTGGAGCATCTCACCTAGTTTTCTTCCCTGAACCCTGGTCTTTATAAAAAGTCAGAACTCTCACAACCTGCAGTGTCATTTTGACAATTAAAAGGGGGAAAATGAAATAATTTTGATAATGCATATAGGTCGTTTCATGTCATGGTCTTGCAGCATACGGGTGTATTAATTAGTGGTTTCAGACTTTGTCACCTTTGAAAGAACAACTGCAATGATACTAAATTATTATGCAATGGCATTGTACAAGTGACACAGATTATGTACCATCATGATATAGTCATTGTCACTTTCCCTTCCTTCTACCCTCTTCAGGTACCTATGTATTAAAGTCACCAGACTGGGCAAGGTTGCTCTATATTATTTATTCACAAATTTTACTGCTACTCATTTAAACAGGGGAAACGTATGAGGATATTAGCATCTGTATGTATGTGCATTTCAACTAGTTTCAGAATCTTTCATATATGTACTCATCCTTTCATATATGTACTCATCCTTTTCTCATCCTTCCAAGGTCGGTGAAATGAGAACTCAGATTGTTGGGGGCAATAGGCTGACTCTGTAAACTGCTTAGAGAGGGCTGTAAAGCACTATGAAGTGGTATATAAGTCTATGTATTATTGCTATTGATCTAGCTAACGGGACTACAGTTTTAATGCTAAGCCAAATGATTTATACTAAAATCTGTGTAAAAGAATTTTCAGTCCAAATGTTAAATGGAGTTCTATTGTTGATATTTAACATGCCATAATAATTTCTCTTCAGTATAAAAATGTACCCAATTGGAGAAAAAAATATTGGTATCTCTTTCCTCTCATAACTAATAGATAGTTTCCATGATAGTTCTTAAGTTGAGAGAAATGTGGCACAAAAGCAAATATGCCTTTCAGAGCTTTGCTACTACTAATTCAGAATAATTAGAGTTAGGGGTGAAAATCTATCACCCAAGAAGTTCATTCAACCCTCAGTCTAATTTCATAAGTGCTCTGCAAACAAACAGTTCAAAATACTGGCACAAATAGTCTCCCTTCTTGAGAATACTCAATAGAGAGAAAGAATAGCAGTCGTCAAGTCCATTCAAAATGCTTTGATTTCCTTTCTTCTTGTATCCAAGGGAACAATGAGGTTTTGAGTTTCAATTCTCCCCAATAATAACATCCAACCTGCAGGCAGGATGTAACTCATGGACCACTGCTGTTCTCATTTATCTACAAGAGGGCACCAATGAAATCAGGGGGCTTTAATTCTATTGAGAATTTGTAGCACTTATGATGCATATACTTACAGTGTTCCAACTTTAGCCAAGAATAAACGTGTGAGACAAATTAAAAAACAAAGTACCAACATGATTTATGTGGCAGATAGTGAAGTACAATGCAGCCTTTAGAAAGGGCTAATGCAGGGGTCTTCAAACGTGACAGCTTTGTGGACTTCAACTCCCAGAATTCCTCCTCCAGTCATGTTAGCTCAGGAATTCTGGGAGTTGAAGTCCACAAGTCTTAAACTTGCCAAGTTTGAAGACCCTTGGGCTAATGTAAAGGAAAACGCAGTTAAAGCAGTGGTTTGTTTCACATTTTTTTACTACTGGTTCTGTGGGCATGGCTTGGTGGGCGTGGCAGGGGAAGGATAAAATCCTCATTTCCACCCCACTCCAGGGGAAGGATATACTGCAAAATCTCCATTTCCACCCTACTCCAAGGGAATAATACTGTAATCTCCATTCCCTCCCCACCCCACTAACCTGCTTTCCAGCTCCGTTCTCCTGTGCAGGGCAACAAAAGAAGACCTCAGCTGGGACTCCAATCAGGTGGGACTCGGGAGGCAGAGAAGAGAGGGGGGCGGGCCCAACCAGAGGTGGTATTTACTGGTTCTCCAAACTACTCAAAATTTCCCCTACCAGTTCTCCAGAACCTGTCAGAACTGGCTGAATACCACCTCTGGTTTGTTTTGTAAATCATTCATCTGTCCTGTAAGAAACCAGTTAATCTATATTCTGTGTTAAGAATGTTTTAGCACTGAACAATTGTAAAACATGGAGTATTTTACAAAGCAGAGATTAGACATACTAACAAGTGTTTCAAGAGTATGTTTTTTTACATCAAATATTTTGTGCTGAGTTTGTCTTACTGTTTATTTTGTAGAGCTCCAAGTTCTGAATGTCATCTTTGAAGATATGACATTCAGAAATTCTGTGACATGGAGCTCCACAAAATAAAAATAACTATAAATTAATCCAGATTCCTGCTGTAAGAACAGTCAGAAAAGCACTTATTAGGCTAAATGACATGCACTGCAACTTTCAAGGAAATTGATCTTTTAAATCCCAATCCAATGTTTATGTGGAAATGTGTCATTTTAGCAAAAATTGGAAATAGGTAATAGCATATATCTGTATTTATTAAGCATTTATTTTGTTAAAAAAGCTAAAAATGAATATGGAAAAATATAGAAGTAGAAAAAAAGATAAAGAAAAAAGTTGAAAACAATGAAAGAAAAACCCTTAATGAAGGAACTTCTGGTCTTGTTTACAGCTATTCCCCACCTTCAAAAGTGCATAATGTAGTTCCTTTCTCTCCATTTATAGCTATTTTTAATCAGTAAATCCAGAAATCCTCAGTTCATCTTCATCCATTTTCAATAAAAAAAAAGTCCTCCAAGAGTTCCTAGACTTTTGTAAATAATATAATGTAAATATTAGCCTCTGTATTATACCAATGTGTAGTGTGATAGCAATTTTTAAAAAAGGGAAAAAAGTTCAGTTCCAGAACAGTATTGTAGGTATAAGGATAGAAAACATTTGCTTAGATCAGGCCAGTGGTGGGATTCAAATTTTTTTACTAC